CACCTGCTCCCAGTAGCTTCCACCATGGAGTTGATTACCAGTCTCATCATGGGGAATACTACATCTAGCTGCCCAGCCACTCAACCAGGCCTAGTCAAGTTGACACACAACCTTAACTACCACAGTTGCTAACCAAAGGGTTGGCAGTTAGAGCCCACCAGCTGCTTCCTTAAAGATGTACAGCCTTGTAAACCCTATGGGGGCAGTTCTACTCTGTCTTATCAGGTCACCCTGAGTCGGAATCAACTGGATGGCAATGAGATTGTTGGTTTTCTTTTTTTTAAATGGAACTGTATTCTTGTGAGAGATCAGTATTCAACACTTCAATATAGGCAAAAAGCACTGAAAAAAGTAAGGATCAGATAAAATTCTGAAGATTGTTTAGGTTTGCTTTTAAAATTCCATCAACTGTGATGAGGATACCACTAACAATGCAAGGCGCAAGGCAACGGTATACATTTCTCCCATGACATAGAAAGGTTAGGAGAGATTATTCATGAGGTCCTCTAAGGAGCCCTGGTGGTGCAATGTTAAGCACTCAGCTTCTGACCGAAAGGTCAGCAGGTCAAACCCACCAGCTGCTCTGTGAAAGGAAGATGTGGCAGTCTGCTTGCATAAAGATTACAGCCTTGGAAACTCTAGAGGGCAATTCTACTCTGTCCTATAGGGTTGCTATGAGTCAGAATTGACTAGACAATAGTGATTTGGGGGGTTTCTTTTTGGTTATTCATGGGGTAATGATATCAACTTCAACCTTTGGTATTAGAGAGAGAAGTGCCATAAAAATAGGGACAAGGACCATTTTATTCTGTTCTATATATCTAGCACTAAGCATAATGCTTAGAAAACACTGGTTAGCTGGATGGCTGACAGAAAATTGGGGGTGGGTAGAAAATTGATGCCACACAAATGAATGTATTATATTTAAACAAAATTACTAGCTGTGTTACCCTGAGCTATTTATATATGTTACTGGAACAATGGAAAGAGCCGGAAAGAGATTACTTAATTAATTCAACCAACAAGTATTTATTAAATGCCTAATGGGATTTTAGATACTAAGGATAAAGCTTAAAACCAAGACAAATAAAAGGTTTATACTCGGCTAAGGCAGAGGCAGATTAATGAAAACATTATAGCAAGGGCAGTTTTACTCTTCTCAAAAAAAAAAAAAGTCCTATTATGGAAACCTGAGCTATTAAATTGAAAATTAAATGGGAAGAGGAGAGAAGACAGATCTCTCCGCAAGAGAGAAGGTGTTACATCTAGATACATCAGAACAGTGTACCTATATTTCCTTCAGAAAAGTTAGAGATTTTTGCAAAAACTTCTGTTACACTCTGCTTCTACTTAATAGGAAACAATTTACAAAACTGCAACAATTTACTAATTTCCATAGTTTTAAAAATATGCTCTTTCCCAGAAAACATCCTAAACTGGTCGCGCTACTGCATCTTCCCATTACATGAATAAAGTAGAAAAATGAAGCTAGAAAATGCATGAGAGAATATTTATCATGTTTCATACAACTATATTATTTTTGCACAGTGTTCTGTTTTTCTTTCTGCAGCAAAGCAAAACTTTCCATGCCAAATTCTTCAATAAACCCCTTAAGATTATTCTCCAATGACAAGAACAAATGAGTGCTGTTAATGATTTTCAGATTTAAAGCAGTAATTCTCATATAAAACAATTTTTTCCTTGAGATTTGCCAAACTATTTCTCTTCAGACAAATGTTTTTACCCTTATTCTAAGAATTTTTCAGTATATTGTCTAGGCTAACAAATTTTTACTTTGAATGCAAACCAACAGAAGAGATAACTTTTCAAGGGATGAGAGCTGAAAGTCAAGAAAATATTTTCTACTTCTCAAAATTTAATACACATGGCATTACAGATAAATCTGACATTATCAATCTAAGAGTTTTATCAGCATTTAAAACCTCACTCCTTCACAAAGAATAGTTAGTTTTGATCATTATTTCTAGGAGGGAAAACACCATTAGTTTGGAGCACATCTCTCGTTAAGAAACATGATCAATCTTTATCTTTTCTATGCGTACTACAGATTATTTTGGTTGCTATATTCTTTCCATAAGAACCTTTGCAGACCTAATGAACAAAGGGTAACATTACATAAACGCTTCAAGAGGGATAATTAAATAGAAGCCATCACTTTGCTTGATGAGTATTATTTTTCAAATGCCTTCAGGGAAAGCTCTGGCCTATCATATGAAAGCATCTTATAAATGCTGAAATTTTTAGCAATTGTACTAAGACTAGCTCCATACAAATGGGAAAGGATTCTGAAATCAAGGTAAGTGAAATTTAAAACCACCATCTTAATTCATTTAAAATTAGAACAAAATAACAAAAAAGTAAATGTTAATGGGACATAAGCTACTTCAAAATACTTCAGTATTGAAGAGCAAGGATAGAAAAGTGAACTAGCTGTCTACGATGTAAATCAAGCAGTCAAAAAGTTGTGTAAGAGATCTGCTTCTCATTTTCTTAGAAAAAGCACTTACGTTTTGATAGATTATAAATATTTAATTTCAAAGTCTGCTATGATACAAAACTCCACGTTTCTAGTTTTACGGAGCAGTGTAGAAAAATGCTATACTGATATAGTCATTGGTAGATTGAGTTAGGAAATAAAGATTGGGGGAATCAGGTTTAGATGAAAGAGGAAAAATGATGAATTTCCTTCTGGACATGTTGAATTGGAGTTACTGATAGGTAACTCAATCAATCAGTATTTGGTAGCTAAAATGCTACTAAACCAAAAACCAAACTCAAGGCTGTCAAGTCAGATCCAACTCACAGCAACCCCTCCTTGGGTTTCCAAGGCAGTAGCACTACGGAAATAAGATTGTCCACTGTTCCTTCTGACAAGTGGCTGGTGGGGTTCAACCGCCAGCCTTCTGGTTAGCAGTCAAATGCCTTAGGCACGCACTACCTAGGAATTAAGATGGTAACAAAGACATAGTCCCTGCCCTCATGAAACTTACAGCTGAGATGTCCAGCACACACCAAAAAATTAAATTCACTGCCATCAAGTCAATTCCGACTCATAGCGACCCTCTTTGGGTTTCCGAGGTGGAAGTAGATTGTCCAGTCTTCCTCCTGCAGACTGGCTGGTGGGTCTACATAGCTAAATATATAGGTCTGGTCTAGATTCAAGAGTCATCAGTTGATAAACGGGGAAAATATCTGAATGAGATCACCTCTAATGTATGTTTAGAGTAAGAAAGAAAGTGGACTGAGACTTTTAGAAGAAAACATTTAAGAGACAGAGAGGTCAATAAAAACAAAAACCAGAAATGTAAGAAAACAAACCAGGAGAGACAGGTGTTACTTGTGGAGAATTTAAAGAAGAAGAAATAACAACTGGTATCAAACTCTCATAAAATTAAGATGACTACTGAGTAATACCTACCACAACAAGCTTCAACTGGGAAGTCAGTGGTGACTGTATCACAGGGCTTTGAACCAGTTTATTCCAGTTCTACCACCTGCTGAAAATTTGCACTTCTACACCAGATACACTGAATCAGAACCTACATTTGAACAACATCCCCAGGTGATTCTTATATATACATAGTCACCTGGGGATCTTGTTCAAATGTGATTCTGATTCAGTTCATTTGGGGGTAAAAATGCAAACTCCTTTAAGCCAGACATTACAGAGTAAGGATTCAAAGTATTTTGTTATTTTCAACGTACAAGTATGGACTTTAGCTTGAGAAAAACATATTTCAATGAGAAGAAATGCAATCACAGAATTTGTACATTTTAAAATGTAAGTTTGCCAGGTATAACAGAAGCATGCAGATCAAGACTTCCCATTCCAGATCTGTCAATAACTAGGTCTCAGGACTATAAACCAGGTTTCTACCTTTCTGGACACTTGTTTTCTCACTTGTAACATACATGAATTAGAAGATGTCATATCTAGCCTTAAGAAGAACATGATTCTGGTCCTATGCTTATATAATCCACAGGTAAAGAGAACAAGGCTCAAAAAGATAATTAAAAAACTTGTAAAGTTACTAACATACAGGCATTTTGGAATTGAAGTTTGTCAATTCTCAATCTAATGTTCTTTACACTATTAAAAAAGTTTATATTCTTGTGGAGTGTGAAGATATGGTTATACTAAAATTCCTCCTCTGCTCCTTAGTTTTAAAAAACTAACATTTTAAAGTATGGGCACAGCCAAGTTACAGTAAACAGCTGAAAAAATACAAAATATCTTTCTCCTATTGTAGTTTGGAGCCTATCTGATGGAGTCATGCTTACAATAGTCCTGGGTTTTTTGTTTGTTTGTTTTTTAAACCAAAGAAACAGGACACAATATTCTGGTATGTAGTAGCCATTAACTAGGATGTGCTTAGGGGAATTCTGCCTTCACCAAAAGGTTTACAACATGTCCCTATTCCCACTATAAGATACACAGTAAAGAAATAAAATCTTAGTCAAATGATACACAACAGAATTGTTTGTCTCAGCAATAAGCTAAATTTCCACAGCTAAACAACTTAATTTCATCCAGGAACACAGTAGCACCACATTCACAGAGACTGCTCTTCATAACGCATACTAAAACATCTGCAGCTTTACAAATAAGCCACATTGCTCAAAGTAAATTCAACAAAGCATTTGAATCAATTTCTTTAGTTAAAAAATATTTTATAGTATTACATTTCATTACAAACTATTGTTTCATTCTTTTAAAAGCATTACTAAACAGCTACAATATATATGGAAAATAATATAAAAAATTTTAAGGGCAAAAGGCTAATTTAATATGAAAATACATTTTCCCCCCCCAGGTAATAAGGTAACAGCTTACTGCGGCCTATGTTCTCAGGTTAACAATTTCTCAGTAAGTTACTTAAAGTACAGATACTTAAACAAAATATCTTGAATGTTGGATAAGTTAGTGATTAAGTCAGAGCAACAACTAGGCATAACGAATACACAATGACATAACTCACCTAAATAGGGAATGCAAGGTGTCATCTTTAAGCTACTTATATAATCTCTGAGCCTTTTGTAGTTATCTTCTTTACTCATTACATATTCTAATTTTTCAAAGGTAGTTTTGTCTTTTCGACTTAATAACTAAAACAAAAAAAGAAACCAAACAAACAGAAAAGTATATGTTATTATTTACAAATCCCATTTTATAGAAGCAAAGATATTTCTCCTGATTTAAAGTTACATTTACTGTGACCCTGAATTTTAACTTCTAAATTATACCTTCTTTAATTATATTTCAATAGTATAATAAAAATAAAATCAGGCCACTTAAAATAATAAGCCAAATTTTTTATTTGTAAAATATATTATCTTTGTATGTATGTAAAATTATTAACTTATTATGTAGTAAATTACATTATTTCTCATCTTTACTATTTTAGATGGTTAAGCAATTTTTCTTAATCATTTTCATAATTTGAAAGAATTATATATCCATATTCAGCTCCAACACCCAAATATTTTAATTGACTGTTCCCTGCTCCTTCAAAGATAAAGATCATTCCTGTATGATCATTAGGAAGTAGCAACGTTGCTTGATAAATCTAATCATGGATGGTCCTACACAAACTGCAAAGCCCAGTGATTCCCTATACTTTTGGACTCCTGACAACACTTTTTCTCCTTGATTTCCTTGATCAATGTTACACTGTATACAGTTGAACAACCAAATGAGATAATTAAAATGTTATTGTTTTAAGAGGCTTCAGGGAGAGATTTTCAATCCCTTTGAGGTCTCTAGGGATAACCAAGGGGATTAAAAGAAATGCAAGTTTAGGAGTCACCCACAATGATACTACGGAATGATAATCAAAAATTCAAGAAATGGTTACTGAATCATCCCAAAGACTTTGAGAAAAACTATTTTTTCTTTAAATATATGAAACTAGTATTTCAAATCCTACTATATTTATTGTCCTAAAATATTGGTACTATTTTTATAGCAGGCAAAACACTCCCAATTATAAAACTGTAAATTCTCCCAGGATGTTAACAGAAAAGTTTCAGGATTCAAGATGAGGACACTGAGTCAAAGGTGATCATATGGTTAGTAAACAGTACGGCATACTAACAACAGCACTCATTCACTCACTCACAAAGATGTCATGTCCTGGCTTTTCAGGGTCCCATAGTTTGGTTCAGGAGCTGAAGATGGGAGCTCTGGTAGCATAGTGGCTAAGGCACTTGACTGCTAACCAGAAGGCTGGCGGTTCAAACCCACCAGCCACTCCTCAGAAGGAAGGTTGGGAAATCCTACTTCCGTAGTGATACTGCCTTGGAAACCCAAGGAGGGGTCACTATGAGTCGGGTCCGACTCAACGGCATATAACAACAACAACAACAACCACCTAATTTACTACTCTTTCCAGCATTACAAGTAATACAGCTGGGATTTATGTTAGAAAGTTATTTCTGTAAACTCCAAGATGCAGATTCTCTTCAGACAATTTCTATCAGAAAAATGTCTGAACATTATCCCTTCCTTTTCAAAGCATGATTTGCTTTAATATTTTAAGACAGATACTGTATGATCTGAAACTGTGGTTTCAATATCTTCCCCTGCTGCCCACCCCTCTTCACCACACACAGTATTCTCAAGTCAATCTTTGCTTGCTACCTGTACCATATTATTTTGCATATAACATGCCCATGTGCATAAGAAACTAACACACGAGGAGGCTGTGTGGTTTGCAAAAAATGTATAATGTGTGTTTACTGAGGAAAAAAAATACTGTTAAGATTAACCATTCCTTTCTATTTGTCTTTTTCTGTTTGCTTTGTAAGAGTTTTTCATAAATCCTGGATATAAAGTTTTGATCAGTTACATTACCAACCCCTACTCTGTGGCCTCTTTTTAATTATTTTAAAGATATTTTTTGATAAACAAATTCTTATTTTAATGTGGCAAAACTTTTCTTTCATTGTCTGATCTTTCTGTATCTTATCTAAAAAATCCTTACCCAACCAAAGCTGAAAATCTATTCATGTCAAGCCAGGCAGATATTTACATATATTTTTCTTCTACTCCCAAATCACTTCATCAACATTGGTCACCCTGCTATCTGAACATATCTGGGCCTTTGCTATCCACTATGCTTGGAATTCCCCTCTCTCAGATATCCATGCCACTGGTTCCCTCACTTTCTGCAGGTCTTTACCCAGGTGTCACTTATCAGAGATTCTATTATCACGTTATATAAAATAGTACTGCCCTTATTTCCTTTCTATCCCATTTATTCTGCTTTATTTTTCTTCAGGTCTTTGTCACTATTTATGATAGACAATATGACTTTGTATCATTCACTACTGTATGCCACACAATTGAACAGTGCCTGGTGTAGTGTGGAGTATTTAAAAACTGAATACAAACCCCAAAAGTTTTATTCAGATTAATAACAGAGCTGTTATCAAATTAAAAAAAATATATTTTTCATGCTAATATTTGAGGAAAACAAGGTAAATATCTTCAAGGAAAATAAAAATTAAGGAAATTGTATCTCATTTCTAAACCATAGGCTATATCAGAATATAATTCTTTTCCCTAAAACTTTAAAGATGGAATTCTTAACTGTACAATCATTTCCATTCTCCCATGAAATTCAGCTTTTAAGGAAAAAGGATAAGGCCATCATCATTAAAAAGCACTTTTAAAGTAGGGAAAGCTTTCACCCAGGTGTTCCTAAAATACAAATGAAATGTAAAAAGGATCAATAGCTCTTCCACACTAACATTTTTTCAATATAGAAATCTACTCTGGTTTTCATGAGAAACACCTGTCTCTTCACATATTATGGAAAATGAAAGCAGCACTAGGAACCAGAAAACAAATCTGTATTTTAGTAGTGAAAGGAAAAAGAAGTTTTAAAAAGTCAGTCTTTAAGAACACACTAACCCTTCTCACAAAATGTCTCAATACAAAATCATTTCTCCCTAACATTAAGGAATATCATTAAATATGAACAAATATAGTTGAATGTAAAATTTTACTTACATAAAACCTAAATGAAAAATACGTGGAAAGCCTAAGACCAGTATCATGTCACTCAAATATAATTACACATTTGCAGAAGTCAGAATTCACACTGTGACCTTGTCAATAATCGAGCCAAATATGATAAATATAACAATATCAGAATATACAGCAACATTACACAATGTCATGTTAACTATCAGATTTTCAATTAATCCAAAGGAAAATACCTAAAAGGTTTACTAACTAAAATTTACTGGAAATCTAAATCAGTAAAAAATTTTTGGAAACTTATGATTTAGAACTTCCTCAAACTTTGCAAAAGCATAATCTTTACATGGCTAAATTTTTTTTTTTTTTGTATTCATGATTTTTCCATCATTGAATATGAAACACTGTGCTGTCAATAAGATGTTTAAAGACGTTCTACAAAAATGATTTTCCAAAGAGCAGAGACCAAGTCCCAAATAATCTGTCCAAACATTCACCTGACAAACCACGTAAGAAAAGAAAATGTAGTTTTCAAAGACAAGGGCATAAAATAATTAAAAAATCCTTTTTTTTTTATGATCATATTAACCTTACTTAAAAAAAAATACAAAAGAAAAAACTAACTCTTTACTTCCAACAGGAAGTCTAACCTTTCATTAATTTAGGAATATTACTCACCGCCCATGTTTTAGTCAACCTGAAAATTGGGGCACTCTGTAAGCCAGAAACCACTGCCATCAGTGCATGGAGGTTATTCAGCTCATACAATTTCTGAAGATTTTTGAAAAAGGGAGAAGAGATGAAAAATAAACAGCACGAATACAAAAAACAGAATTACATAATTCATGTGATATACAAAAATTTATTCCAGTGTATTCAATACTCAAGTGTCAAAACCAAAGCTATAAAACTTTTAAGGATAATATATTTGATTAAAGGACTGTTATTTTATTTTTTCAAAGGTTAGGGTAAGATTTCTTTAATGAGATAGTCTAAGATAAAAAGCAAGCACTGGGTTATATCAATTTAACTACTGTTGTTGTTGTTGTTGTTATGTGCCGTTGAGTCAGACCCGACTCATAGCGACCCCTCCTTGGATTTCCGAGGCATTATCACTACGGAAGTAGACTGCCCAACCTTCTTCCGAGGAGTGTCTGGTGGGTTTGAACCGCCAGCCTTCTGGTTAGCAGTCAAGTGCCTTAGCCACTACGCTACCAGAGCTCCTCAATTTAACTACAGTATGTCAAAATTAAAAATGTCTATATCAAAAGAAACATGAAAATAGTGATAAGACAAGCCATAAATAGGAAGATGTATGCAAAGGATGTAACAGAAAACTAGTACTAGAATTATATATATAAACTTCCAAGATCAATAAAAGACCAACACTGCAATTATTTCAGGTATTTCATGAGAGAAAAGCTAGACAGCCAAGATAGAAAAGATGTTAACAGTCATCAGAGCCAATGCAAGGCTAAAATGTGATATATTTAACATCAACCAGGATTGGCAATGAAAAATTTTGACAATATCAAGTGGTAACAAGTATGCAGAACACCTAGTACCTTGATACACTGCTGGTGGGAGCATCTATTAGTACAACTAACAGTATGGAAATCAGAGAGATGAGCATAATTCTGTAACTCAGCAGTTCTACTCCCAGTATGAATTCTGTATTTCTAGCGCTTCAAAGCTGACATGAGCACCAAGAGATGAATAATGAGAATGCTGAAAGTGATAGTGTTCATAACAGTAAAAATCAGGATACTACCCAAACTGCAGTATATTGAATAAATTGTGGTATATGCAAACAAAAGAATATTCAACAACAAAGCGACACCCAACCACACGTACAAATCTCAGTAACACTTGAATTTAAAAAAACAAATTATAACAGTATAAAATATGGAATAATTTCATTTAAAGAAAGGTCAAAAACTTTCATATAAAACTTTTTTTTTTTTTTGTTTAACGATAAAATAAAACAATGAAAGAAGAGAAAGACCTGAATATGGAGGGCTCTAGAGCACCAGAATAGAGGGATTTAAGAGACAGTGATCAAAAAACAAAACAAAACAATTATGTGTAGTGCTTGGAATGAAAGCAGGAGCTGTCAAAAATAATTCTAAAGCTAAATCTGAGCCAGCATTTAATTACTATTTGATTAGGAGGATAATGATAACTTTGATAAGAAAACTGTGGGAGTTATGCATAGAATATACATTTTTAACAAAACTAACCAACATGAAAAACAAATTCAGGATCTATGGAGAAAAGTCATGAATTTCTATTAGATAAAAACCAGTATCTATCTACCCTATCAAAAACAATGTTTAAAACATTTTTTGACACTTGTACGGAATACAAAATTTTTAGAAAGGCTAACTCTGCCACCTAGTGTCGCAGAATTTGTTAGAATATAACTGCTCTCATGTGTTCAAGGAAAATATAAAAGTTCTGATACAAAAATCATAAACATGTACCAGGAGTGAGAGGGGAGGGAAGGGAACACTGCAAACATAATAATAATAATAATAAACATGGTATCCTCATTTTATTCTATTTTCCTTCATTCACAGATATACTAAATTAAATATTACAAGAGTAATGAGGAACTTGGCTACAATTACCAAATTTCTTGCAACTTTAACATAAATTTAGAGCTGTCACAGGTTTTAATAACATCTTGGTATCCTCTTGTGCCATATCCTTTTCCATCCTCCTCTCTAAATTCTCGCTATCCTTGAAAATCATGCTCCATTTTTCATGCTGTCATTTATTATCCATGCGAAACAATAAGTACTCAAATAACAAACCTGATTAATGTCTATACTTAAAAATAAAGTGTAATCATTCTCCTCATGGCTGGCAGAGTGATCTATTTCAAAAGCAAGTAACTGACCGTTAATTGTACTTAATCCTTTTATTTAAATGTTTATTGTGATTTGGGTGAAAGTTTACAGAGCAAATTCATTTTCCATACAGCAGCTCACATATACCTTGTGTCATAGCACTGACTTCTATTTCCCACAATGCAATAGCTCTCCTTCTACTTCCTCCCCATAGCTGCCTCTTCCCTGTCTGTGTTCTTCCCTCCCAAGCACTCTTGCCCCCCTCCCCCACTCCCCCAGCTGTCTCCCTGTGCATACACAGCCTTTCTATTCTCCCATGGTTGATCTCACAAGGAGTGTATCTACCTAATGTAAATATTCAGCTCATATGCCTGTGTTTTGTTTGCCTGGAAGCCACAGGAGTGGGTTCAATTTCAGACCTGAAGGAAAGCTAGGGGCCACAGTCTCAGGGGTTTCACCAGGCTCTATCAGACCAGCAAACTTGGTCCTTTCTTTTTTTAAAATGTTTTTGAGTTTTGTTCCACATTGTTCTCCCACTCTATCCAGGATCTCCTACATAGATCCCCCTCAAGTGGCTGACAGTGGTAGCTGGGCACCATCTAGTTCTTCTGGTCTCATAGTCATATAGGCTGAGGATCACATGGTCTACCAGTCCCCTGGATTAATTGTTTCCATGGGTCTTTGGTTTTCATCATTCTTCTCTGCGCTGGACGAGGGTAGACCTGTTGATCTAGATGCCCGCTTGCAAGCTTTTAAGATTGCAGTTGCTATTCACCAAAGGAGGATGTGGAACAATGTTTCTGTGTAGTATGTTACTCCAATCGAGCTTGATGTCCCCTGCAACCATGATCCTGAGCCCACAGGTCCAACTACTAGCTCCCTCTGGGAAGCTGGCTGTGGCCAAGAAGTGACTACAACTTTGCCCTTGTCAGCTCTACTATATACCTGGATATTCTTACAAAACACACAAATACACTTGTAGAAACATTTGTCTGCAAACCTTATACATGAACATGGGCACACTCCCTCCTGCCTACATATACCTGATCATTCAGCCTGTCCACCCATCTATCCACCCATAGATTAATGTTTGCTATCACTAACAATGCAGTACTGTATGTGCAAAATGGTTCATCTTTGTTGTTTATACCTCCCGTGCATCTCTCTTTGTCTTCTTCTTCCTCAATGCCACTGTGTTGATCACTCACATTTGGTACATTGCCCTTCCTGTCTCCCAAATCAATACTTGTCTCTACCTATGTAGATGTGTTCCCTCACCTCCCCTTCCACCTCTGGTAACCAACAAAGAAAGTTTCCTTCTATATAGAAACCTTTCCTTGACTTTTTATAATAATGAACTAATACTGTATTTGTTCTTCTGTGATCAACTTATTTCACTCAGCACAATGTCCTCCAAGTTCATCCACATTATGCGGTGTTTTGCAGATTCTACATTATTCTTTAGGGTTGCATAGTATTCCATTGTGTGTATGTACCATGGTTTAGTTAACCATTCTTCTGTTCATGGGCACCTAGGTTATTTCTATTTCTTCTACTATTGTAAATAGTGCTGTGATCAACATGGGCATGCATATATCTGTTCTTGTCCTGGCTCTCACTTCTTTAGGATATATACCTAGTAATGGGATTGGTGGGTCAAACGGTATTTCTAATTTCAACTTTTTAAGGAATCGCCATACTGCTTTCCACAGTGGCTGTATCATTTGACAGTCCAACCAGCAGTGTATGGAAGTCTCAATCTCTCCACACCCCCACCAGCATTTATTTTCTGTCCTGTTGAACTTTGCTACTAGTGCTGGAGCAAGATGGCATCTCAATGTTTTGATTTGCATCTCTCTAATGGCTAATGATCGCATATATTTCTTCATGAGTTTGTTGGCTGCCTGAATATTCTCTTTGGTGAAGTGTCTATTCATGTCTTTTGCCCATTTTTTAATTGGATTATTTGTCTTGTTGTTATTGAGGTGTTGGGAGTTTTCTATAAATTCTAGAGATAAGTCCCTTGTCAGATATGTTGTGGCCAAGTATTTTTTCCAATCTGTAGGTTCTCTCTTTACTCTTTTGGAGAAGTCTTTGGAAGCACAAAAATACTTAATTTTTAGAAGGTCCCATTCATCTTAGTTTATCTTCTGCTGTTTGTGCATTTTGGGTTATGCTTGAATAGTCTACTAATGCCATATATTAAAACCAAAAAACTCACTGCCACTGAGTTGATTCAACTCAGAATGACCCCTCCTTGGGTTTCCAAGGCGGTATCTCTATAGAATTAGACTGCCCAATTGTCCTTCCGAGGAGTGGCTGATGAGTTTGAACTGCCAGCCTTCTGGTTAGCAGTCAAATGCTTTAGGCACTAGGGCTCCTAAATTTGCCCCTATTTTTTCCTTGAGGAAATTCATAGTTTTAGATTTCACATTTAAGTCTTTGATCCATCTGGAGTTAGTTTTTATATATGGTGTGAGGTACAGATCTTGTTCCATTTTTCTGCAAATAGAAATCCAGTTATGCCAGCATTATTTGTAAAACAGACAATCTCTTCCCCATTTAATGGATTTTAGCCCTTTGTCAAAGATCAGCTGACCATAGGTCAAACGAATCTATTTCTGGGTTCTCAATTCTATTCCATGGTCTATTATGTGTCTGTTGTTGTACCAATTTTTGGTTTTGACTACTGTGGCTGGATAGTAGGTTTTGAGATCCGGAAGTGTAAGAACTCCTACTTTGTTCTTCTTCTTCAACAGTGCTTTGGTTATCCGAGGTCTCTTTCCTTTCCATATAAAATTAGTGATTGGTTTTTCCATATCCTTAAAGTATGTTGATGGGATCTGGACTGGGATTGCATTGAATGTATAGATTGCTTTGGGTGGTTGTTGTTGTTATGTGCTGTCGAGTCAGACCTGA